TCATCCGTTTTCAAAATTTGGATTTTAAAATATTGCATCCATATTCGGTTCAAATTTCTCTAAAAAATGTAGTGTAGAACTCAATTTTTTGTTTTGAAAAATATTCAAATTTTCAGCCTGATCATAAGGATGCGTGAATATCTAATCGATATTTTGATCTATCATCAATATCAATTCATTTATTTATTCACAAAATGTATTTCGACCTTGAAGCCTTACAGCTAGCGGTCTCAACGGTTCTCGGTTCTGACAGAACCGAACCGGAACCGGCCGGTTTTTTCTGTATGGAGAACCGAACCGAACTTTTATTACATGTTCGGTTCCAGAACCGGACGGAACCTGGCGAAATAAACTTTTTAACTCAGTTTGCGAATTTGTTTATAAACTTGTACAAAGACAAACACTATTTCAGCAAAAATATGTCAAGTAGTATTGTTTTTTAAGGCAGCTATTCCATCTTATCATAACACTACTGGTAGGGCCGGAACCGCCAGTTCGGATCGGTTCGGTTCCGGTTCAGTTAAAAAAGTTCGGTTCGGTGCGAGAACCGGACCGAACCGGACCGTTGAGACCACTACTTACAGCAGAATTAAAAAGGCTGAAGAAAATTAACTTTCACAAAAGTAAACTTGTTTTTCACGATATTTGGCGACTACACGATGACGAAGATTAAGTCTAATGATAACTTTTTAACCAGGTTATTCAAAACAATTTGTATTTTGAATATGAAGTGATTAATATTTTTGAAAATAGTTTGGTTTTTAGATTTTAGTAAAAGTTTCTGACAGAGAAGATAATAACATTTATTTATTTTTTTTTTAGATAGATAGATTTATTTATTTCTCATCTGATATGGCCGAGGCCCTCATCATTACAAATTACAGAGTTGTACATATGTGCAAATGTAGATAACCAAATAGGTAGGTAGTCAGAGGAATGGAGGAAAAACCTAACTATGGTGGAGAGTTAGGAAAACCTCCATCACCTCTGGGAATGTGGCCCAGAGGTCCATTCGGCTCTGACTACCTGGACACCAGATAGGACAATGAATGATAGAGATCATAGGTAGATTCCATGAGATAGTGGTGATATCCAAATGAGGACGGCGTCGTGACGGCGGAAGCATGATGAGTGAAGGTTGTTGGGCGGGGCGTCCACGGACCACGAACTACCTTAGCACCCTCTCGGGCACGGGCTACGTGTCCCCTTCACGGTCACACAGTGTGACCAGGGCCGAGCGACACTACCCACTTGCCCCTTCACCCCTCACAGCACAACCGGGTCATGGGACCCCCGTAGGCCCGACTACGCTGCCCACCGCCATGCACGACCCCGTCCTCACTCTTCCACCAACCACCCCCCACAGTCACCACCCCGACATACCAAACAATGACCTACCTGGGGGAGTCCTCCATGGCGTAGATCCTCCCGTGCACTGGGTCCGGCGAATCCATCTTCGCCTGATGGCTCAGCTTGTCGTTGCTGGGACGGGTGTGGCAGGGGGTGTCACCAGGCACGCAGGTGGGGGGTGTGAGTGGACGAGGCTCACATGGCGAAAAGCCTGGGACACACTTGACTTGCCCTGGCACACCCGCGACCCAGATGGAAGAGAGAGAATCCAGTTGCAGAGCGAGAGAGAGACACGTCGTGCACGGTTGGAAGCCAAGGAGGATCCACAATAACATTCATTTAACAACCGTTCCAAGTTATTTCTTCCCAAAATTCGATAAATTTTAGAATTCACACGGTTTAAAAAACTAGATTTGACACTATTGCACAAATTTTCACGAAATTTTGAAGTTGATACAAACGTCGTTATAATCTACTTCTCCTTTTTAATCAGATTTTCTAAAAAAAATTATTTCGACTTTAAAGTGATTACAATTTTTGCAAAAAAATTGGTTCAGATTTAATTTAAATTTTTTGAGACGGAAAATAAGAACATCTATTTAACAACCATTCCTACTCATTTCTTCCAAAAATTCGATAAGTCTTGGAATTCAGTCGGTTTAGAAAACTGTGTTTGACAAATTTCCATAAACTTTTCACGAAATTTTAAACTGGACAAGGTCATCTATTGTTTTTCTCTAGTGTTGTTTTACAAAACTTGTATTGAAGTAAAGAAAAATTTTCAACAGATTTTTGAATTACATTTTTGTTTAAATTTTCGCAGGCAGACGATAAAAACATCTAACAACAATAACAATTAATTTATTTCTAAACAAAATTTATTTCGACTTTGAAGTTTTTAGAAAAAGGTTTAGAAAAAAACTGTTGTGGTATAAACTAAATTTCACAAAATTTTGAAGTCGAAGAAGAAGTAAATCTAATGATCCTTTTTCAATAATATTTTTCACAAAATGTGTATTTCGGCTTAAATTTTATTTAAATTTTCTGAGGGTGAAGATAATATTTATCAAAAAACCATTCCAATTTATATTTTCCCAAAATTCGAATTTTAAAAAAGTAGGTTTGACACATTTATTTAAATTTTACTAAAGAAATTTTGAATTAGACAATGTTTTAGATTGAGTCTAATGATCCCTTGTTAATCAGATTTTTCACAAAATTTCTATTTCGACTTTGAAATGATTAAAAAAATAGTTTATAAAAAATTTTGGTCTAGGGTTTAACAAAATTTTCTGAATTAGAATATTTCTACCTAGCAAAAAATGCATATCTAAATATAATAAACATCAATTAATTAATTTCAAAGAACTTTTTCGACTTCGAACCTTTTAGAAAACAAGGTGTAAGGTCATCATGAAGGTTTTCTTTTGGATCAAAGTAGTGGAATCTGGTTGTAAATCTGCAGATGAAGTATCTGAGTAACAATCTAATGACTTAATTTTTTTTGTATAATTTATTTTCGACTTTACAGCTTTGCACTCGATTTAACTGTCGCATTACAATTTCAAAACTTGTCTGTTTTCAAAATTTGGGTTTAAAAATATTTGATACATATTCAGTCCAAATTTCTTAAAAAAATTTTGGCGAAATTTTCAAATTTTCAGCCAGATTAGACCCAGGATAATAGCATATCTAACAGTAATCTCGTTAATTAATTTCTTCAGTAAATTTATTTCGACTTCGAAGCTTTACATCAAAATTCAAAAAATTGAGAACTTTTACAAAAACTTCGTTTTAGCGAAATTTGGCGATCAAATGCCGATGCATATCCTTAGATCTAGTGATTTTTTTACTCAAACACATAATTTCTATTTCAATTTCGAAGATTTTAGTGAAATTTTTGAAGAACATATATTTAACAACGGATTTAATTTATTTATTTGCTAAATTGGAAATTTCATTATTCACTCGGTTTAGAAAACTAGGTTTGACACATTTGCATATACTTTTCACGAAATTTTGAACTCGACAAAATCAGCCATTTTAATGAGGTTTTCCCCAAAATTTCAATTTTTAACTGATTAATATTTTCTAAACGATTTTGGTTTGGTTTTCTATTGAAATTTTGGGAGATATAAGAAAATACATTTAGCAATAATTTTAATTAATTAATTTCTTCACAAAATTTATTTCGACTTTAAAGTTTTTAGAAAAGGTTTAGAAAAAAACTAGCATTTAAACAAACTTACTTTTCACAACATTTTGAATTTGAGGAAGCTATTGATTAAATCTTTTGATCATGTTTTTTCACAAAATTTGTATTTCGGGTTAAATTTTATCGAAATTTTCTGAGATAGAAGATAAGAACATTTATCAAACAACCATGCCAATTTATACTTTTCCAAAATTCGAAGGTAAAAAAGTAGGTTTGACACATATATAAGTTTTTCATTTTCAAGAAAATTTTAATTACAGCTTATCAACTGCTTAATCTAGTCATTTTGCCTTAATCATGTTTTTCACATAATTTCTATTTCGACTTTGAAGTGATTGAAAAATATTTGGTAGAAGATTTTGGCCTAGATTTTAACAGAATTTTCTGAGATATATATAAATACAAAATATATACAAAAATCAAAATATAAACAAAAATATATACAAAATATCTATAAAAAATCTAAACATTCAACTATAATGCAAATTAATTAAATAATTTAACAAAATTTATTTTGACTCTTAGAAAACTAGGGTTCAGACGTTTATATAAACTTTTCACGAAATTTTGAAGTCGAGGAAATGAATTGCGGAAAATCGCCTCCCACCAATAGCCTCCAAGTAATGGCCTCCGACCAATAGCCTCCTGAGGAAATTAGCCTCCCTTACCAATGGCCTCCCAACCAATCTCCTCCCACTCAATCGCCTCCCAGGCCAATCGCCTCCCACCCAAAATCCTCCCAACGGCGAAGTAATTATTGGTTGAATCTAATGATCGCTTTCTAATCACGTTTTTCATAAAATTTGTATATCGATTTTGAACTGATAAATATTTTCTAAAAGATTTTGGTTTAGGTTGCATTGCAATTTTCTTACACAGAAGATCTCTACAGGTAACTCTGCATATCTAAATATAATATCAGTTGGCTAATTAATTTCAAAATTTATTTATTTCGACTTCGAAGTTTTTTTTAGAAAACTAAGTTCTACACATCAGAATAAACTTTTCATGAAATTTTGAAATTGAGGCAATTCAATCTACTATTCGGTTTTTGATCAGATTGTTTACAAAATTTGTATTTCGAATTTTAGGAGATTAAGAAAAGATTTTAGCTTGTTTTTTTTTAGATTCTCTAATACAGCCGTAAAATTAATGAATCTAAAGACAATGTCAATTAATTTATTTTTCTTTTCACAAAATTTATTTCGGCTTTTCAAAGTCAAAATATTACAGAGCAAAACAATTTGAAAGATATCTGAACAACAAGTTAACTAGTTAGTTAATTTTTCCACATAATTTATTTCGACTTTGTAGCTTTGCACTCGATTATACCGTACTGAAAATTGTAAATTTGCCAAAATAAACGCAATTTCTGCCATTTTTCTGCCATCCTAAAAATGCTAAATTATCTATAAAAAAAATATGTCCAACTTACCAATTGAAGACGCACTGGAAGAACTTGAGGTCATCCGAGGTATGCATGGGGACGATGCTGGGAGGCGCGCTGATCGTCCAGGCCGAAAGATACAGCAGCATCACGACCATGATGGGACTCATCCAGTGAAGAAGATGCTTCTCCGTCAGCTTTATCTTGTGCGCAGATTTCACCCGAAAGGTCAAAAATACTCTGAAAAATAGTATTAAAAAATCATAAAATTTCTTAACGTAGGAATCATCACCAAAATCAGGACATTTTTAGTCATTTCTCAGCACTGGGAATTTATTTAAAAATTCTGGAAGACAAATTTGTAGAGCAGGTAGTTGCCAATTTATTTAAAGAAAAATGCACTCCACAATTCGACACATTTTGAAAGAGGAGATCTCAAGTTTAAGAATCCTTCAGAAAAATTGGAACTCGTCGAAACTGACTCAAAAAACTCACGCCATTCCATCAATCGCCTCACCGACTACAAATTTGTCGTCCAGAATTTTAAAATAAATTCCCAGAGCTCCAAGAAAATAAATTTGTATGACTATTTAACATATCTAAGACTGGGTGACTCATTAACAAAATCGTCAAAATCAGCACATTTTTAGCTAGAGTATAAGCCCGTCTCCCGCCGGGAGAGAGTTGATTTGGAATTGGGATAGCGGGGGCTTACCTAACCTAACCCGGATAATCAGCACCCCCGATAACCATAAGACCACACAGCAAAGAGTATCATAACTTCTGACATTCAATTTTTGTACTTAATTTTTTTAGCGTCATTTGAAACGTTTGGTTCTTTACTTTCACTTCCGTTTCGGAAAATTAATTACACTTCCGTTGCAGACAAACATTTCCAGCTTATAATATAGATCATTTCTCCCCCTGGGAAGCGATAAATTTGCAGTCAGAGAGTTGACTAATGGAATAGCGTTGAGTTTTTTTAAGCTAGTTTCATTCGATGAGTTGTGATGTTTCTGATTTTTTTTTGAAAACTTTTCTTGTAATATTTCAAAGTCAAAATAGGTAATAGTTAGGAAAAACTTTTTCGAAATTGTACGTAGATCTACAATCCGTCATCCAAATCGTTAGAAGAGAAGTATTCTGGACGACAAATTTGTAGTCAATGAGTTGATTGATGGAATGGCGCTGAGTTTTTTGAGCCAGTTTCGACGAGTTCCAATTTTTCTGAAGGTTTCTTAAACTTGAGATCTCCTCCTTCAAAAAGTGTCAAAATCTGGAGTGTATATTTTTAAAAACATTGGGAGCTTCCTGCTTTTACAAATTTGTCGTCCAGAATTTTAAAATAAATTCCCAGAGGCGAGAAATGATTAAAAATGTGTGTATTTTAATGCGTGTATTAACGATGCGTCTCAGATAGACATTGGAATAAATTTGATGCAAATATTTCGCAAATTTTCCGCATAAACTTACTCCCAACATCGCGATCCAATTTTACATTTCGCAAAATTTAAACTAGTGTTTCTCACGGGTCGGGTTCTTGCAAATCCGAAACCCGAACCCGAACCCGGTACCACTGATCCGAAACCCGAGGCCAACCCGAACCCGAAGAACCCGTACCCGTTTGCAGGGACCCGAACCCGAACCCGAACTGGCGGTTCAAATCCGAAACCCGAACCCGAAAACCCGAAAATATTTTTAATTTTAAGGCATGGGCTGAATTTGTACTTTAAAATTATTTAAAAGCTTAAAAATCAACAATATTTATAATATTTCAAAAACTGCCCCAGAGTGGCTTTCCGAGACCTTTAGAAATTTGAAAATCAGTCCAAAATTGGATAATTGTTTCCAGTTTGACGTTTCCAATATTATTACTTATGTAATTAGGTATGATTCAGGTAATTGCATAGCAAAATTAGGATAAAAATTCGATTTCTTTTATAGTTCGCACCATAACACTAATTGAATCGGGCTCTTGTAAATCGTTTACCTTTTTGGAAACCATTGAAATTAAACGAACTTAAGACAACTAGAAATTGGAATTACTTACTTCAGTATTGCAACCGCTGAAGCACATGTAGTTCAACAATTTTTCTAATATCTTTTTGTGATATCGATCCAAAAAAGTTTGATTCGGGTTTCGGGTTCTTAATCCGTACCCGAACCCGACCCGAACCCGAAATTCTGACATGACAATTTTCGGACCCGAACCCGAACCCGAAAGTTTCGGGTTCTTAAATTTCGTATCCGAAGCAGAACCCGAACCCGAACCCGAAACCCGAAGTAAGGACCCGAACCCGTGAGAAACACTAATTTAAACAAAGTTCATCTGAACACAGCAATAAATTCGGTGCAAATATTTCGAGAAATAAGTAAAAATATGCTGATATTTCCGAAATTTCATGCAAATATTTTTCCATTACCTGCACAACTTCATGTAGAGAGCGGTATAAGTGACGCAAAAGCCGAGGTGACGCGTCCACTTGACGCCGATGCAGGTCGCTTCAGACAGGACGGGAAAGAGGGCAATCATTTCCGAGTACATGAGCACACAGCCGAACAGCGTGATGCAGTGGAACAGGGGGGACGAGGACTTCAAAACGGGGGCTTTTCGGAATTTATACGTCACAAAGACCAGCGCCACGGTTCCGATGCAACATATCACGGACACGCAGAGCAGCACCATTCTGAAATTTAGGGCAAAAATGGCATATCGTTTAGTGTTAATTGTTTAATTTTGAAGGGATGGTTTCGTTTTTTTGTGGGTTTGCTACATTTCTTGCACATTTCTTGCTGGATAAGTAAGAAATGCAAGAAATGTGATGTGCACGAAACTGCAAGAAATATGCGCCATCTAGCCACGCGTCGTATGAGCTATAGCGGCGGGAAGTCATTTTTTGTGCATTTCTTGCAGGTCGAAATAGCTTAAAGAAACCACTTTCTTGCAGTTATTTCTTGCAAGAGGTTACGTTTTTACCCGAAGCAGTGACTACTTTCACCTAGTGTTTCGTTCCTTGCGAATTTGCTGCAAGAAATCGCGAGTTTTTTTAATTTAAAAAAAAACTAAAAAATCCCCATAAAAATTTAAACTTTTTACAATTTTATGAAATTGTTGATTTTTTTTTCGAATTTCAAAAAACGAATCGGGTTGTAGAGAAAAGGGTTGGTGCTTATCAGCATCTCGATATCTTTACACATCATCAAGAAATCCGCTTGCGAAATCTGCTTGTAAATCCTTATTTGCGATTTTGTGACTTTCGACCCCTCCCCCTCAGGAAAGGGGTGGAGTAGAACCAAATTATTGGCATTCACAAAAATCAACTCTATGAATTGTTCAAATTTTAACAAAATCCATTTTTCTATGTCACTCGAACTTGCAGAACTTGGTAGGCAGAATCATAGCAATCTTGAGGTGCAACGGTCATACCATGTACAACATACATTTTATTAAATTAAAGTATGTAATTCTTTCCTATGACGTTAAAATATGACATTTTTATCACAGTTTAAAAATGAATTTTTATAAACTTTTCTTGTCGTGAAACTATCCTTGCAAATATTTCCGTTTTGCAGTGTCTCGGGTGCAAGTGAAGCTAAACTGGCATAAACTGGCTCAAGAAACCTTGATTGTATTAACTTGAACTTCATAATTTGTAATTCCAATTTCAATGAACTTCATAATTTGTAATTCCAATTTCAACCAAATTTGAGACTTACACTTCACACCATCGCATTGTAAGTGTCCAAATCTTAAACTTTCAACTTGACAAGTACGCATATTTCGAAATTATTTGTAAATAAACCTAGGGGAATCATTCTGAAATTTTAACGGTCACATATTAATCAGCTGGTTAACTTGCTTAATTTTAAGGATTGTCATTAAATTATTCATTATTCAAATTATCTGAATTATGCATTTCACTTGAAGAATTCCGAAAATGTATTTCACGACGTTAAGACATCCCAGTTTTATATCTTTTAAATCCAACTTTTCTTCATTCTGAAAAATATTTCATCGCCTTATTTTCATCCATGTGCTATTTAACAGTCGGTCATGCACTTAAAAAATCACAAAATAGATACCAAACACCAGTCGGGACAGTAAATTGTATCACATAGATTGATCTGTAAAGCACATTTCGTTTAAAAAATTATACCAATATTTTTTACGTCGCTAAAATATCTCTTTTTAAATAAAAATTCCATAAATCCAACTTTTCTCGTAACAAAACTATCCTTGAAATTGTTTCCGGTATGATTTGTCACCTTTATTGCCTAGTTTTCATCAATGTGCAAACAGTCGGGTCACTACTAAAATTTCCAACAAAATACCAGTGGATAAGGGACACCACATTATGTCGATCTATCACATTAATTCATCCGTAGCTTACATCTTCGTTTTAAAAAATATAAAACTATTTTTTTACGTAGTTGAAATAATACCTGTTCAAAAAATTTAGTTTTCATTCAAAGTTCGTCATCCCAATTTTTGACTGATGATTTTCATTCACATTCAGTCATTTTCTTTCAAACGCATTTCATTTCACTTCATCTTACTTCATTTCCTACTTCGCCCAATGTATTAAGCATAGGGTGAAAAATGAATTAAAGGAGTGACAAATCCTTCATTTATTCATCTGAATGAAGGAATCTTTCAGTCATTTTCATTCAAATCACAGGAAATTCATTTTCATTCACCATCATTCTTCATCATAATCCATCACATGAATGAAAGTGAACAGGTATATGGTTGAAATATCTCATTTTTGTCTCATTTTTTGAAAATAAATTTTATAATACTAAATTTCTAGTAAGGAATTTTTTTTTTTTGAAAATATTTCCATTATCATACTGTCATTGCCTTGTGTGCAACCAGTAGAGTCATTCAGTGTTAAAATTGCAAAAAAATATGCAAGTAAGGACGATACCCAATTCTCATCTATATGGATCTGTATGGACCATACAGTATGGTACACTTTTTTAATAAAAGATTACGCACATATTTTTTACGTCGTTAAAATATCTCATTCTTGAAGAACAAATTCTATAAATTCAACTTTTCTTGTAATCAAATTATCTTTTCCATTATGAGCGTGTCAGTTTCATCGTATTGTTTTTATCAATATTTAAACAACCGGTAGTGTCACTAATTACTAAAATTGTCTCTTATTCATAATGTCATTTTGTGCAAAAAAAACTGCAGAAAAAAAGATGATGAGGTCACTCTTTCACGTATTTACATGTTGTATATAAAAAATTACACAATGTTTACGTCGTTAACATGCCTCATTTTTCAAAAACAAATTTTATAACTCATAATTTTTTGTAATAAAACTATCCTCGAAAATATTTCCGTTAAAATCACATCATTTGCATCCTCTTGTTTTTATCAATACATTTAAAAAAAGGTGCGTCACTAATTACTAAAATTGTCCTTTTTTCATAATATAATTTTGCAAAAAAAAACTGCAGAAAAATACGATGAAGGACACCAGTGATGCTGTATTAAAAATCTGTAACGTACATTTCCTTCCTTAAAAAAATTATAGCAATAGTTTTTTGGCCTTAAAATACCACAAGGTTTAAAAATAAATTTTATAAATCCAAAATTTCTTGTGATCAAACTTTCCTTAAAATTGTTTCCATTAATTACTAAAATTGTCTCTTATTCATAACGTCGTTTCGTGTAAATATTTCTACTGAAAAAAAACATGATAAGAATATTTACAATAGAACCTTTTTTCAAGCTACACCGGGATTGCTTAATGAGTTATATCGAAAAATCAAGCCAAAAATTAGGAGTATATTTAGCGCATATTTCTTGCAATTTCTCCCAGTTTCTTGCACATCCTATTTCCTGCGTTTCTTATTTTGCAGTGCAAGAAATGTAATAAACTTCAAAACCCGCAAAACAAAAACTGAAACGCGAACACCCACTCAAAAAAATTGGACCTGCAGGACACATTGTATTAAATTAAATTCTGAAATTACTTCCTATGACGTTAAGATACCTCCGTTTTTTGCATTCTTTAAAACTTTGTTATTTTATTACAAATTAAAATTTTCTAGGTTAGCAGATTTTGATACCGTTACAGAATAATTTGGAGATTTGTATTTACTTAGATACCTTTAGATCCAATTTGGATGATTATCTGGCAATTTTATGACATTATAATTTTGGTAAATAAAAAAATCACAGAAAACATGGGGAAATTCTACACTCGACTTTCAAGTTTATTTGCAGGGATAAATCATAATTTTGTAATTTTTTACCAACTAAAATTTTTATAGGGTACGAAGTTTAACGCTGGAACGGAATATTTTAGAAATTTTAAGTTGATTTATAAAATTTGATATCTCACCGGCTTTCCGTGGTACCATTTTAAAAATTATTTTACGCAACTTTTAAATAATTTCAGGTGTTAATTTAATTTAATTTTGTAGCATATTAAAATATCGATAGTTAAAAACCATAATTAGTCGAAGGATCTAATCAGATCAATTAATCTAACCTCCCCAAAATCTTCCATGGCGTCGTTAAACTGCGAAAAAATAAATTTGTTATCAGCTTACAATTTTTAATTTTTAAATTTGCACAAGGTTGAATTTTACTCGTAAAATAAAATTCACAAATACTGCGTTTTTCTAAAATATAAATTGTAAAGAAACGATGTAGATGTACCCCATATTTTTATTATTATGTAAATCCTTCCTCGTGTAAAATTATTATTGAAATTTGCCTTTTTATATCTAGTACATATCATCTGAATTTTAGTAAATTAATCAAAACAATTTTTCATTTCCCAATCTCTCAATTTTAAGTTTTTGTAAACCCAACTTATCATCTAGTAAAATTTTCCTAAATTTCTCACGTTTTCCTAAAATCATCTGTAATATGTATTTTATTTAAAAATTTCCAAAAATATATTTTACGACGTTCATATATCTCTTTAATTTTATATATTTTTTCAGATCGAATTTTCCACATCAACTTTTTTCATTGAAAAATATTTCCTCTATAATCTTGTCACTTTCATTGCTTTGTTTTCATTACTGTGCTATTATTTCCACAAATAAACACTAAATACCAGTCGGGACTGCAAATTATGTCACATAGATTCATCTCTAAGGCACATTTGGTTTAAAAAAATTATAGCAATATTTTTTATGTCGTCAGAATATCTTATTTTTCATAACGTCATTTAGGTGCGCGAGATCTGTAATGTACATTTTGGTTAAAAAAATTATAAAAATATTTTTTTACGTTGTTCTCGTTATCTCATTTTTTTTAAAAACAAACGTTATACCCAACAATTTATCGTAATGAAACTACCCGTGAAAATATTTCCATTGTGGCCATGTCACTCTCATCGTCTTGAGTGCAATGAGTCGTGTCATTCACTATTAAAATTGCCAAAATAAGTAAATGGGGACAGTGAATAGTTGATCTGTAAAGTACATTAGGACTGCCAGTGAGTTGTAAATGAGTTGGCTTTAAATTTACTATAATTTTTCACAAACTTGTGGAAATTTGAAAGTTTAAGCATTTTTAGATTCCCAGATAAATTTAGGGTAAGATGACAGAAATTCCAACGAAATAAAAAATTGTAAGTTGATAATTTTTGGGTCTACTCATTAACGACTCAATAACGACTCATTTCCAGTTTGCTCCAAAAATAAGAAACAATGAATTTCACCATAAAACACCATATTAGTATATGTCCTCCCGAAGGAGGACATAAAACACCATATTATAACACCATAAAATCTGTAACGTAAATTTTGTATACAAAAATTACACAAATATTTTTTACGTCGTTGAAATATCTCATTCTTTTAAAATAGATCATAATTCAAAATTTCTCTTTAAACACTTTAATTTCTTTTTAACTACGCTTACAAATATTTAGGTTAATGACTAAAATTTCCCGTTATAATAATGTCGTTTCGTGCAAAAAAAAAATTCAGAAAAAATACCATGAAGACGACCTAACATCTAACGTATATTTGGTATAAAAAAAGTTCACAAATATTTTTTATGTCGTTGAAATATCTTGTTCCTTAAAAATTAATGATACTCCAAAATTTCTTTAAGCACGTTAAGTTCTTTTAAACTTTCCTAAGAAATAACTAAAATTCCCCGTGTCTTTCATAACGTTTCGTGCAAAAAAAACCTGCAGAAAAAATAGGACGACAAACGACAAGCGCCATAAAATCTGTAACATGAATTTTGCATAAAAAACTACCAAAACACCAATATTTTTTACGTTGTTGAAATATCTCATTCTTTAAAAATAAATCATAATTCAAAATTTCTCTTGAACAGTTTAATTTCTTTTTAAATTTACTTAAAAATATTTTCGTTATATTAAAATTGCACGTTTTTCATAATTTCGTTTCGTGCAAATATTTATAGGAGCTGCAGAAAAAATATGATAAGAACATTTAATTTAATTTTTTGTCTTACCGTAATGCCCATCCGATGGGTGCCCAACAAGAGATTCCATCCAAACAGTCTTCACACCCGTCGGGGCAGTTTTTACAGGAAACGATATCTTGATACATCACAGAGTTGTTGCCGTTCGTCTTATTTTCTCGCATCGTGCTCCAAGCAGCTATTTTTTAAAAAAATATTCAAATTATTTCAGTTTCTCAAAAAATAAAAAATTCCTGAAAATAACAAAATCCGCACCTTCAGCAATAGCTCCGGAAACCGTGTTATTCAGCTCTCTCTGATAAGCGTATTTATTCTTTGCACAGCGACACTCATAGCTCCCCAAACGCCACGGATGACCAGGAATGAAGTGACACTGGAAAAGATAGACATTTTTGAAATAATTATCCAAAAATATAGTTACGAAATTGTCAGCCGTTGAAAAATAAGTGTTACCAGTTTAAGATATCTATGTATTTATTTTCAACTTTTTCATTTGATTACGACCGACGGTCAAACTTTGTGAGTATGTTCCCTAACTCGTGTAGATCGCAAAATTTTAAAAATATTTCGACATATTTCTAGGTTTTCATGTTAATATTGCAGCTATTGTTTGAAAAATACGTAAATCTTTTATATATTTTTTTCGAAAATACATACATTTTCTAAATATTTTAACGGTACGAGACAAAATTTGTTTGCTCAAAGAATTGAAGAAGAAGGAAATTTGATCACAAGAGTTCCATATTAGCAAATACAAATTTTGTGGAAATTTATATTTATGGTTTTTCGCAAATATATTTTGCGCTTTTTATAATAAATATCGTATAAATACATATTTCGGCGATTTTTCTTAGTGAGGCAAATACCTGACAACGAAAAAAATTTGCTAAGTATGCATTTACCCCACCCAAAAAAAGTGACATAAGTCGATTTCTCGGCCATTTCTCAACCGATTTTGATGAAATTTTGCACAGATCATTGTTAGGTAATTTAGAAAGGATGTGCTAGTCGACTTGGCGAATTTTTTGTTTTTACCCAAGTTATGTGCCAAAATGTGCAAAAATGTTCCCCTGAAAACATCTATTTTTATGATTCATAAGTGGTGTATCTCAGCATGCTCGCTTATTGCAAATATTTTAGTCAAAGTCATTCCGGACATTTTAAGCGCAAAATGACCTAAATCGGTTGAGAAATAACGGTGTTATTCAAGTTTGAAAATCAAAAATTTAATACAAATATTCAGGGTGCCGATAATAACGGCGGTTGTGCAGTAAAAATAATGTCTTTGACAACCAATTACAAGTTTTAAATAAACAAGGCCCCCAAAAATGGGAAATCTTAGTGAGTCAGCGCAATCACATTAATAAATAAAATTAGATTGAATAACTTTTGCATCACCGCTCTCGGGATAATTTTTACTGGGTCCACTGTAAATTTAGTTTTGCATACGCATGAACTCTTGCATTCATTAAATTCATTGAGATTACAAGATGGCGTTTTTACTATTGAACGAGAAGTTGGCTAAATTAATCGATATGACATATAATTGTGAACTGGCAATTTTAAATTTAGAAAGAGTTGAAAGTCTACAATTTCGATATATAAATTTGGATATCCTATTAATTCCTATTCTGATGAAATCTCCAGATCCTTTGAGGGTGGGAGCAATTATTCTAAATGATTAATTAATGCTTCCAGGAAAAATGATACCGAGAGCGGTGATGAAAAAATTATTCAATCTAATTTTATTTATTAACTGTGATTGCGCTGACTCACTAAGATTTCCCATTTTTTGGGGCCTTGTTTATTCGTAAATACATATGCGCTCCCTGTTATCCTGTTATCACTCTACAAGGAGAAATTTGGTAGGAAGAAAATTTTAATTTTGTCCACAATTATTATTATCACCATTTATTTTCAGGGAGATAATTTTTGTAACCACAAAATTTGCATGTATGCATTTGCATGTTTCTCACCGTGCTCGTCCCCCTGAGTCGGTCACATTTATGCGTGTCGCGAAAATAGTACAAGGGATTCTCCTTAATGTCCCAGGCTCGTCGCCCCTCGTCCTCAAAACCGCACTGGTTCACCTCGATTTTCGACAAATCCAAGTCGAAACTTAGTTCCCCGTATTCCTCCACGATTCTATAAGACAAGGAAAAAAAATGTACAGATTTGTAATTTTTCCCACATCAAAGGTTAATTTTATCATCATGGGTGCGATTTCTGTGGGGTCGGAACAGTAGATTCATTCCAGAAAATGTATAAATAGGATTTAATATATAATGTTATAAATATGAGAATTAATTTCTCTTAATTTTGTTTTGAACTCTCGAAGAATCGACCTACGTAATTTTTTCATTGTTAATATTCGAAAAAAATATAAACGACGTGTAAAGAGCACTAATTTAAATTTGAAGTTAATATTTACATAACATAAGAATTTATTAACGTTTTAATTGATAACAAAAGAAAATGAAACTTTGGAACAACCCTGAAAATTTTCTTCTTTGATTTAAGACTAAATTACGTAAGCATAAAAATTTTTCTATATGTTGACATCATTATAAAATTACAAAAAATGAGAATTAATTTCACTTAATTTTCTTGTGAACGTAGAACAAGGATCAACTTACAAAATTCTCAGGACTCATTTTTTTAAAACTTGTGTTGTTAAAAGAAAAATTGGGAGAAAGAAATTTCGAGGACGTTTTTATGAAAAAAGGAGAGGAAAATATTGAGGTCTTTTGTTACGAGAAAAATTTTCAGGACTTTTTTGAGGAGAAACTAGGAGAAAAAAATTCGGAGTTTTCTTTAAAGAAAAAACGGAGATCAAAAAATTTGCAGGGCCTTTCTTACGCAAAAAAGTTGGACCAAAAATTCCATTAAAAAAAACTAATCACACCCACGCTTTCCTCCAACCCCAAACTTACTTGTCTTTTTTAGAGAAAAAAACTGAGAGAAGAAAATCTTGAAGACTTTTTAGGGAAAACATTTTTGGAAATATTTGCAGGACTTTCACAAGGAAAAAATAGGAAAACAAATTTTGAGGGCTTGTTTAGGAAAAAAAACAAGTGGAAGAGAATTTGCAAGACTTTTTTAGGGAAAAAACCTACTCCAAGCAACTTTGCGGGGCCTTTTAAGATAGCATTAATACCATCTTGGTAGTTAATGGCAACACATTTGGGTGGAAATGACCCCCACCGGCCAACCACTTGACCGATCATGCTCATCTCCGAACTCATCCTTACTTTTTACCCGAAGATGAAGCATGCAAAATTTCAAGTCGATAGCTTTTGTTTAAAGAGAGTTATCGTGCCTACAGACGGACGGACAGACGGACGGACAGACAGACATCTTGACAAATCTATAAGGCCATCTTAAAAGGCCTAAAACTCGGACCAGAAAATTTTCCGGACAAAAAAAACGAAGAAAATTCCATAAAATCCAGAAATCGCACCCACGCTCTAAACATCCACCCCCAAACTTACTTGTCTTTCGTCACGTGGATGGGAAACCAGGCCGTGTACGTGACCAACCAAGCGTTCTCGAGGTCCAGTTTGGGCTGGAGGTGTTGTTTGTGCAACTGCTGGAAAATGTGGCTCGTGTGCCCATGGACGACGCCATGACCACCTCCGGCTGCCCGCTTGTTCTTGCCCGATACGAAGTGCGGATTTCCATGATGCCCGTTCCGCAGTCGGACCCGATGTCCACCTCCGCCTTCTGGGGGCACGTGGGGGACATAATTCAACGTGTGAATCTCGAGTTCCGACTCGGTCATGATTTTCCGATTTTTTGTCGATGAACAATTAAAGTACGGCCACGACCAGAATGATCCGCCCATCATGCCGGTGTCCATTATCCGATTTTTGTGGTAGGTCGACCTATAAATTGGAAATTCAGAACGTACACTTTTAGAAATATTTGTGAAAGTTTGTAAGTTTACGGATTTTATAAAGTTACAAAGGACTGCGTGAATTGGATCAATATTTTATATTTTTTTTATTATGTTCAAAACACTCTTAGAAAACTGGGATTAAATCATTTCGACCAGAGTGCATATGTATGTATGACTCTACCTGAACTGGTAATAACGGGTATTATCGTTATTAATATTATGGTAATGAAAAACAGAAATCTGTAAACTACTACCAATCCGGTGGGAAGTTGCTACCAAATCAATACCAGTGTGGACTCTACCAGATTTTTACAAGTGTATGTACCTATGTAAAATCGTCAAAATCAACACATTTGTAGTGATTTCTCCGCTCTAGGAATTTATTTTAAAATTCTGAACGGCAAATTTGTAGAGCAGGGAGTTGCCAATTAAAAAAAAATATGCACTCCAGATTTTGACCCTTTTTAAAGGAAGAGATCTCAAGTTTAAGAAGCCTTCAGAAAAATTGGAACTCATCGAAACTGGTTCAAAAAACTCAGTCGTTCCATTAATCAACTCACTGATTACAAATTTGTGGTCCAGAATTTTGAATAAATTCCCAAAACCGGAGAAATTATTAAACATGTGCTGATTTTGACGATTTTGGTGGTGAATCATCAAGGCCTAGGAGGACAAAATTTGTATTTATGTACATAACCCTACAAGATTCTTGTTTCATTCGCATTCCCACCTGCAATATCTAAACTTCATGAAAAGTATTGTATAATTTAAAAAAAATTCAAGTTCGACTTGTTCCTCTAACATAAATTAATTATTGCGAAATTTATTTATCAACAAAAATTAACTAATTGTACATAATACATATACTGCACACGTATCGTTAACTTCTAATCTTATAGTGACACAATTTACTTAACATATGACTCGATGACTCATCGCCAAAATGGTCAAAATCAGCATATTATTAAATTAATAATATTAATCATTTTCCGCTCTGGGAATTTATTTTAAAATGCTGTCCGACAAATTTGTAGAGCAGGTTGTTCTCAATTGAAAAAAAATACACTCCAGATTTTGACACTTTTTGCCGGAGGAGATCTCAAGTTTAAGAAGCCTTCAAAAAAATACAAATTTGTCGTCCAAAATTTTAAAATAAGTTCTCAGAGGGGAGAATTTGTGAAATAATAGTCGATTTATGAAATACTGTAAATAAAGTATATTTCGAGTGTGGTCAAGTTTTTCACATAAGTTTTTCGAAATATGAAAATGCGAAAATTTCCATTTTTGCTGTTACGTATTTCATTAGGATTCTTATGTGCTTATCAAAATCTGGATAAGAGAAAATAGGTTTAAATGTTTTAAAAAACAGTCGAACAATTTGTTACAATTTTGACAGGGTTTTAACGTCAATTAGAGAAATATTAGGAATAAAGTATGCTACAACATCAATTCAGATTCGATTAGAGAAGTGAGGTGCGGAATTTTAAAATAAATTCCCAGACCGGAGAAATTATTAAAAATGTGCTGATTTTGACTATTTTGCAGATGAGTTATCCAGTCCTAGAATAAGTTTTCGGAAAAAAATTTCCAAAATTTAAATATGTTTACCTCAATTGAGAATTGTTATGATCATGGTTCATCCATCGGGCGTGGTCAAAGGGCATGTTGGGGTCAAAGAACCACGGCTTTTTTACCAGTTCGCTCAATTTCTCCCGGGTTTTTGTCAAGTTGTAAAACCTGTTGGGATCCGACGTGGTCATCGGGCCTTCCAAAGTGTAGATGAACTGATCCAGCGAGGAAGTGTGGTAAATCAGGAGGCGAAGGTCTTTAAGGGGGTATGCCTAACAAAATTTATATTTATCAATTTTATGGTCACAGCTACATACAGCTCGTTCAAAAAAAATAGAGACAAAAAAATCTGAGAGGTTATCTGGCAGAGTTCGGCACAAAATTGCACAATAAATAAATTTAAGTTGTAAAAATTTAAGGACTTTTGGCTCTATTTTTTTAACGAACATTACCACTTTTTAATTATGGTCATACTAAATATTGTTCGTTCAAAAAATGAAGACAAAAAAATCTGAGAGGTTATCTGACAGAGTTTGATTATACGGCACAATAAAAAAATTAAATCTTGAAATATTTAAGGAATTTTGTCTCTATTTTTTTAACGAACATTACCATTTTTTTTTACTAAAAAACATGAGTTTTTACCACTTGTAAGGTCTCCAGGGCGTAGCGGTACACTTCTAGCTCGTCTCGTTCTATGTGATCAAAAAACGAATAGGAGATATAGTAATTATGCAAATTATGTTAATCAGAATAACCGATTTCCAATAATTATTAATTAACAATTAACTAACAATGGAAATCTCCCTCCCCGATTATGCTATCCGATTTTGAGCAAACTAGTCTCAATCGATGACAATTTTAATTCGCATGAAATTTGCGAAAGACACGGTCTCCCTATGGGCACGTTTGGCAGAGATATTTGCATCCGAAGAGGAGAAAACGCGCAGTAAAGTCGACAAATTGTTCACTTTCCAAATTTCATGTGCGTTTTCTCCTCTTCTGATGCAGATATCACAAAAATCATCATTACAAGAAAACATGTATGACTCTGCTGTCGTACACGTGTTTTTAAGAAATTGTGGAATTTCGTTAATATTCTCAGGTATATAAAATATTAAATAAAGTGTTTTTTATTACAAATAATATCACTATTTTGCAAGAATTATATATCGATCAAAATGCATTCAAATTTAGCAAAAATTTGCAACATTTGATACGTGCTTATTTATTTATCCTCATTTTGTGGCGCTATATTTCCCAAAATTTCTCGCTTTCATATCCAAACTACAACTTTGTTTTTCTCCCAAACTTTTTTTTGCGGACGTGCGATTTTTTTTTGCAAAAAGTTTTTGCCAACGACGCAGTATTTACTACTCTTATGTATTTACGTATGTAGGTGAGGAGAGCAAAGAACGCTGGTTGCGGACAGGTGTCAATCGCTCCCAACAATATTTAGTTGGTAGAATGTAGAACAATGAAAATGAATGAAAAGCAATCTTAAAAGTCGGCTCGGGTTTTGTGTCTTTCTCTTTTTTTCCTTTGATGTTGATTGCGTTTGATTGTGGATGGAAAAGCTTTCGGTAAATCAGGCAGTGTTTCGGGTGGGAGTAACCACTTGCATGAAATAGCTGCAAGAAAATGGTTGCCTGTAGCAATTCCGACCTTTAACCATACCTGTTCGCTTTCATTCATTTGACTGATTATAATAATGAATGAAAATGAATTTCCTGTCATTTGAATGGAAATGACTGAAGGATTCCATCATTTCAGATGAATGACTGTGAATGAAAGATTTCTCATTCATTTCATTTTCACGCTATGCTTAATACATGGGGCGGAATAAGAAATAAAGTCCGATCAAGTGAAACGAAATGAATTTAAATGATGAATGACTGGTGAATTAAAATCTTCCGTCAAAAATCGGGATGACTAACTTTTTTTTGAACAGGTGACAGGTATGTAAATGCATCCACAAAAATGGAGTTGTGTTGTTGAAAGGTTGATTTTTAAATTTTAACTCTTCATAAATTCAAATATGATTTTTTTAAATTTCTAATTTGCTCCTAAATATTTCTCGATTTTGCAAAGTATCAGTTCGACGTCAATAATGGATGTGTATGTAAAAAAGGGTGATAAAATTGGTACAAAGGTTCCTGAATTTTGTTGGAATTTTAGCTCCACGCTGATTTAAAAGCTTACTGCAATTTTTATGCAATTTTTATTTTTTGCTGGATTAAATACAATATTAATTAAATAGATCGGTTATCGATTAAATAGAATGCAGTTTTTATAAGACATCTGGATCTGGTCCAGTTTTACGATTAATTGTTTTTAACTTTGAAATTTCTAATTTCTCCCAAGTTTCTAAATAAATATGTATCGATGTTCGGAAATGGATCAGTTTGACGTCAAAAATGGATGTGCATGTAAAAAATGGTTCGGAAGTTGGTTTAAAGATATCATCCATTCAAAGTGTTTTAAGCAATTTATACAATTTTGATGCAAATTTTATGCAATATTATATGTTCAGCTGGATTAAATAGAATATTAATTAATTAGATCCGTTGTCAATTAAATAGAGTGTAATTTGTTTTTCTATTTAGTTTGTCTTTCAGAATGTCTGCAACAAAAGGCAAGGCACAAGAACCTACGCCACGCCGTTATTCTTCATACGGTGCGTGGCTAGATGGCGCTTATTTTATGCGGTTTCTTGCACCTTGCATTTCTTGTCTGGCTTGCTTTTCAGTGCAAGAAATGTATGCAGCAAACCCACAAGAACTGAAACACTGCTTGCAAAAAATGAGGGGGAGAAAGTGGTTTCTTGCAGGGGAATATTTTGACCTGGGAGAAATGCAGCGCGCAAGAAACTAATCCCGCCGCTATAAATACTTCATACGGCGCGTGGCTAGGTGGCGCTTATTTCTTGCACTTTCTCCCCGTTTCTTGCACCTCGCATTTCTTGCATTGGTTATTTTGCAGTGCAAGAAATGTAGCAAAACGAACACTTGAAAGAAAGTGGTTTCATGCCGCTGCAAATTTTGACCTGCAAGAAATGCACGGCGCAAGAAACCACTTCCCGCCGCTGTAGTTCATACGGGCCGCGGTCTGATGACGCATATTTCTCGCACTTTCTTATACCTAAATTTCCTGCATTTCTTTCATGGCATTGCAAGAAATGTAGCAAACCCGCAAGAAACGAAACACTGTCAAAAAACATGACGACGACAACGAAGGTGAAATTTATTATGATTGATTGATTGATTGATTGATTTATTGATACTAATCTTCCCTCGGGCCATGATCCCATGGAAGATATAAACATTACAATTTTTATTCCATTACAAAGCAGAGATTGAGTAAGGGGTGGCAGACCCCGTAACCTATTGTACCCTAATCAACGAAATTTATTATGAGCAAAAAAAGTAAATAAAAGAAAGCACCTACTTTTAATCTTTTTAGTGAACATGCAAAATCAAAATCCACACAACACAATGTTTTTTTTTTCTTTCTCTCACAAGAGAGAAATGTGTCACAAAAATGTGTGCCTGCTGTGATTGTGATGTGAAGATTGAAGAATCACTTGTTTCTGATTTTTTTTGCGAATTATGTACACATTGCAAAAAATAATGTATTTTCCTTTTCGCCCACGGGTAGATGATAATGACGCAAATCTGCAAGTATTTATCAATATGTGCTACGCGTTATTTTTATGATTGATCTCAAATTAGAAATTAATTTCCAAGCACTTTTCAATCACGTCAATTTGTAAAATTTACCCTGTCAAATATGCAAACTGCTTTTGATCGTGCAGTAATTAATTTGATGTCATTCCATTTGTCAGTTCAATTTAATCGACTTTGCAAAATGCGTATAAACTCGGAATTGGCGAAAACAAGAAATTACAAAGTACACAATTTGTAACCTTGTTAAAAATGAAAATGCGTTGTTTGGAAGGAATTTCTATATACTTTTGCTCGAAATATGATCATTTGACCCTGATGCCAATCCAGTAAGCGCTTGGTCGAGGTCCATTTATATCTCGTTGTGAAGAATCGGCGTCCTGGCATCCAGAAGTTCATATTTCAAGCAAATTTGTGCAAAATTCCCAGATTTTCCAAACAACTTAAATATTTACTTACACTTTTGACAAGGGTAAAAAGTAAGTAGGAATTTTTGGATGATTCGAGTTTTCGAATTTTTTGAAGTCATCTAAACTCTCTTACACATGTTTAGACCATACTAGTTTCAATGGATCACAAATTTAATTAGTATGAAATTTGCAAATGGCACTATCTCCCAATGGGCACGTTTGGCAGAGATATTTGTATCCGAAGAAGAGAAAACGTGCCCTAGAGACGACAAATTTTACACTTTCCAAATTTACTTTTCTCCTCTTCGGATGCAAATATCTCGGCCAAACGTGTCCATTGGGAGATAGTGTCTTTCGCAAATTTCATCCTAATTAAATTTGCGATTAATTGACACTAATTTGGTCCAAATATCTACGCTGAGAGACCTCCATCCATTGTCCGTCTCAATTTCCCCTCATTCAACATACCCATTTACTTATCAACTTACCAATATCCTTCTTATTCCTGACATATTTCTTCAACTTGTACAAAAACGACATGATCATATCCGTCTTTTCGGCAAGAACGTTGGCGAATTCCGTGGAGAGGATGACATCTCGCAAGGAAACGAACTCCTCTGGCCCGAGACAGCCCTCCATCGTCACACCCGTTTTCGACAGCTCGTCAATTTTCCGCAGTTTCTCCGTCTTCTCGTCCAACTCGCGGACGAGGTGCTGTTCAAACGGAAAAAAAGAAAGTCATTTTCATTTCTTTGCTTCCGAAATAAATTGAGTGACTCGAGAACAAAGTGACTTTCTCTTCATTTGTCACCGAGTGGGGATGATGTTTGTCACCTGCCGATTCTCACCAGCGGACAAATAAGTGTGTCCATTTCTCATGTGTTTTTTTTATTGTTTAGCTTTCTTTATGGAGAGAAATACGGTTTATTTGCGATAAAGATGGCCCAGGGTTTCGGGTGCAAGAAGTATGTAGTTGTTTTGCAGGTATTAATTTACGAAATACGAGGCACAAGATGACGCTCATTTCTTGCACTTTCTTGCATTTCCTGCGTTCCAGGTACAAGAAATGCTGCAGGAAATAACAGGAAGAAATTTCAGGAAATAAAGGGGAGAAAGTGGTTCCTTGCAGGTGAATATTTTGACCTACAAGAAAATGTAAGATGCAGGAAGTAATCTGTACATACTTCTGTATGAACTTCAAGTATATTGCACCTGTAATATACTTGATTTTAATTACATTAAACTTTGATTTCTTTCTTGTGACGTTAAAGCTTCTCAGTTGTATATTCTTTAACAACATTTTTTGCAAAAACTGTATTCAGCCAACCCGAAAGAAATTAAAGTCGCAAAAAATTAAACCCGAAAGAAATGAAAGCCGCACAAAATAAAACCCGAAAGATATTAAACCCACAAAAAATGAAACCCTGAAAAGTGAAACCCTGGACTTTTTGTGTCACAATATCAATCCACCCGTATTATTGTCAAGTCATGTTTGGTGCTTGGCAGTTTTATATTATTTATCGAAATTGGTTTCATTCGTGTCCGGAAAAGTGGGGAGATTAATTAATGACACGTGTGTCACTTGGATGTCGGATCGGTCAGTGTCAAACGGAAATGGAAACCTGGTCAGGTACTTAAATACACAAACTTTAACACTTTTTCAGCCCAGGATTAAGATTGATGCGCTCCTTTGCCAGCTCATATTCGCAAAATTTCTCTCCCCATTTTTTGCACTCTTGTGTAACTTTGCAAAATTCACGTATGTAAGGACGCAAATCGTAAATTGGAAGAATAAAATGATCAATATTCAAGTTTACTTAATTCAACTACCTTAGTTTTGAAATTATTTTGAAATTTTGTAAAGCCGCAAAAAAATCGATGTATAATTTTTTAAGTAAAATTGATGACTGGTAAATGATAATTCTACACCTCATTTTACTCAAGAATGCATAGAATTGAAGCCTCCACAAACTATATCCAAAATCTTCTTGAAAGGTAACAAATATTCGTCAAAATTTGAAATTTAGGTTAAAAATCAGTCCAAAAATTAGCTGACCGAATTTTTGTATGATTTTTGAAATATTTTAAAGTCGAAAGAACATTTATTAAATGACTAATTGCCTAATTTATAAGTAGGTTTTATGTAAGGCTGCTTTAATTAGGAAGTTTAACGTAGGACTGGATGACTCATCGCCAAAATGGTCACATTTTGAATCACTTCTCGCCTCTGGGAATTTATTTTAAAATTCTGGACGAAAAATTTGTAGAGCAGAAGTCGTTCCCAATTTTTAAAAATATACACTACGAATTTTGATACTTTTTGAAGGAGGATATTTCAAGGTTAAGAAGCCTTCGGAAAAATTGGACCTCGTCGAAACTGGCTCAAAAAACTCGACGCCATTCCGTCAATCAACTTACTGACTACAAATTTGCCGTCCAGAATTTTAAAATAAGTTCCCAGAGCAGAAGAATGATTAAAAATGTGTTGATCTTTCCGATTTTAGCGATGATCCATCGAGTCCTACGTTCATTGGAACAAATTCGATACAAATACTTCGCAAAATTTCCGGGTAACTTTACTCCTAACATTGCAATAAATTCGATGCAAATAAATATTTCGCAAAATTTCCACGTGTAAATTTACTCTACCCATCGCAATCCAATCTTGTTCGCAAAACTTCCGCGTGTAAATTTACTCTACCCATCGCAATCCAATCTTGTTCGCAAAATTTCCACGTGTAAATTTACTCTACCCATCGCAATCCAATCTTGTTCGCAAAACTTCCGCGTGTAAATTTACTCTACCCATCGCAATCCAATCTTGTTCGCAAAATTTCCACGTGTAAATTTACTCTACCCATCGCAATCCAATCTTGTTCGCAAAATTTCCACGTGTAAATTTACTCTACCCATCGCAATCCAATCTTGTTCGCAAAACTTCCGCGTGTAAATTTACTCTACCCATCGCAATCCAATCTTGTTCGCAAAATTTCCACGTGTAAATTTACTCTACCCATCGCAATCCAATCTTGTTCGCAAAATTTCCACGTGTAAATTTACTCTACCCATCGCAATCCAATCTTGTTCGCAAAATTTCCGCGTGTAAATTTACTCTACCCATCGCAATCCAATCTTGTTCGCAAAATTTCCACGTGTAAATTTACTCTACCCATCGCAATCCAATCTTGTTCGCAAAATTTCCACGTGTAAATTTACTCTACCCATCGCAATCCAATCTTGTTCGCAAAATTTCCGCGTGTAAATTTACTCTACCCATCGCAATCCAATCTTGTTCGCAAAATTTCCACGTGTAAATTTACTCTACCCATCGCAATCCAATCTTGTTCGCAAAATTTCCACGTGTAAATTTACTCTACCCATCGCAATCCAATCTTGTTCGCAAAATTTCCACGTGTAAATTTACTCTACCCATCGCAATCCAATCTTGTTCGCAAAATTTCCACGTGTAAATTTACTCTACCCATCGCAATCCAATCTTGTTCGCAAAATTTCCGCGTAAACAAACTTCCTCCTCCGAACATGGCGAGTAGATAAATTCGATGCAAATATTTCGCCTAACTTAACTCTGACTGCTTTCACCTCTTCACTCTTCTTGACGTAATTAAGTTAAATAATCAAATTAACCGAGTTTTCCCATCGGAAAGTCTGCGTCTCGTTGGTCGGTCGGGTACATAAGTTAACTTCTTAATTTCATTTGCATTTACAAATTAAGGAAACCTGGTGCACGTTGGGAAGACGTCGGGGAGAAAGTCGTCTGTCTGGCTGCCTGGTTATTAAGGGGTGACAACCTCTTTATGGAAATGTTTTGTCTGTCCGTATCCACGATAACTTTAAAACGGATTCGAATTTCGACGTGCTACGCCACGTGTCGAGTTTTTTGTATGGATCATTTTAGACGTAGTTTTGGGCGGGGATTTCAAAAATCGACATAGTTTTGACGTGACATGACCGTGTCGCTTCACCCCTTTGATACATTTCGTTTGCAACGATTTATTTACTTACTTATTTCTTCTTCTTCTCTCTGTTTCTCTTTTGGGATGATTGGAAAATCAATGTTTCTCTTTCCTTCTACTCTCTTCTACCACGGCCAGGCCACAAAACTGGCCCAATTTTCTATCTATCTGTGTAACAAGCTAGAGTAGATTAGAGGATACAACGGCATCTCGGCTTCCTCCTCTGTGTATGTACGTCAAGTCGTCATCATAATCCAATAAATTCTGTTGCTCTTATTCTTACACAATTCGTACTTTCTCGTCAATAACAATGTTTCATTTTGGTCCAGTCAAAAACTAAACACGGTCACCTAAACTGGACACGGTCTAGAAGCGTCTAAAACTATCCTACAAAAATGTCCAATCCAAATTATAAGAATTTTTTAAATCTCAAAATTGTTAACCGTAAAATTGTAAAACTGTGCAAAATAATTTAGACGTCCAAGATGTCCAAATTAATTTTGGACGTGTCCGAAAAGTCCGAAAGCATCCAACATTGGAAATTTGAGCAAAATGTTGCAACTTCTTTGTTACAGACTGTTTTTCAAAACTATTTACGCATAGATATCGAATCTCCCTTTAATTTGGGTTGGTCTGTGATATTTACCACAAAGTCTGGAAAACTTCGTTTCGCATTCTTTCCTATGAGAAATTACGAAATTTTCTAAACTCGTGCCGTATTACACAGCAAAATGCTGTGGGAGCGGAGATTATAGATTTGCAAAAAAGTCGTTAGCAAGGAACTTGCAATATTTTGAAACATTTTACAGTATTGGGCATTCCAAAATTCGGTGTCTAAACCCGGTAAAACCCGGATTTGGGATGACTGTATGATTAAAACCACGGGGAAGATATGTGTCTTCAAAGTTTACAAGCTAAATATTTTCGCTGTACGAAACAAAACGTATGCAAATACCCACTAACCTCATCCAAAACGAGATGGTCCACGTCATGTTGGGCGGACGAGGTGGCGGGTGGGTGGGGTTGATGATGTGGTTCATGTGGTGGTGGGGGCGGATGTATCGGATCCCCCGGGGGAAGTGGTGTCCCCCCCTCGGCAGCCACGGCATCCTTGACGACCTTGACCTTCTCCTTGTCGTGACCTTCAATCCCATTGTAGACCATTTGGAACTCGGGCTCTTCTCTCGAGTCGCTCGTCATGATGTGCGACCCCGTGACGACGGAGGGGGTGACCAGCAGGATGAAAAAGACGAGATTTTTTGCATTGATGCGGCGAACACGTCCCATTTTGGAAATTTGAGTAATTTTTTACGGTTTTTTTTTAAATTAATGTATTTATTTATTCTTTCGTCCCTTCTTTCCTTTCATCTGGAAATAAATAATCGAAATATGTAAATTTAGTATTTTGGACATTTTGGGAGGAAAAGTTGCTCAAATAAATTAAAATATATTTTCGAATTTTATTATTTTTAAATTTTTCTAGCTTCGTTCAAAAATGTTGTGACAATAAATTATTTTGATAACTTTGTACTATGCTTTTAAGTCAAAAATTTTCACTCAGTACATCTCGTACATCTAGAACGAAACTACAAGTAATATCATTTTTGTTATTTGTAAATTAATGACGTCCAAGTTATCCAAGTAAAATGTATTTTCGTATCTTGTTTGCATTGCGATTTCAATTTTTTTTCAGGCTTGTATTTTCGAATTTTGTTGTTCGCATTGCATTTTCAATTTTTTAGCCTTGTATTTTTTGATTCGTAGTGTTTTTCTAACTTCGTGCACAAATCTTGTGAAAATAAATTATTTTATTAAACTTTCCACATGTACTTTTGAGCTTATTACCCCGAAAGCCTTGATTTATCTATGCCAAAATAATATAAATATCATTTTCGTATTTTCAAATTAATTTTGACGTAGAAAATGAAATCCTGTATTTTCAAATTTTATTCGCCTTGTATTTTCAAATTTTATGCTCCTTGTAAATTTTTTTTATTTTTTTCTATTTGCGTCTAAAAATCGGTTGACAAAAACCCATCCAATTATATAACTTGGCATACTTTTAAGTCTATTTCTCTGGAGGCGTCAATCTGCCATAAAATTAACTGCGTATCATTTTAATATTTGTAGATTAACGGCGTCCAAATCATTCAAATAAAATGTCCTCAAATTTTATGCACTCTGTATTTTTATGAAGTCCGGTATTTTACTATGGCTGTTACCACGTGGTAATAAAACCCTCACGTTAATAGTTCGGGAGATTAGCATACATATTTTCCATGCCGGATAACAGATATTTCTCAAATTATAAATTATTCTCAGACATACACAAAGCCCTCCTTTTCCTCTGGGGTTCTGTTTGGCCGACCAAATTGTGAAGGGTATCAATGTACGTATCTCGTGATGATTTATGGTGTGAGACGCCTTCTTTCCAATATCGATCATCATCATCGCGATCATCCTTCTTTATGTTTACAGTGTTTCTTTTCTTGCTGGTGGTTTGCTAGATTTGTTGCAGTGCAACGTGAGAAAGGCGAGAAATGCGAGGTGCAAGAAACTGGTGCAAGAAATATGCGCCATCTAGCCACGCGCCGTATGAAGTATTTATAGCGGCGGGATTTAGTTTCTCGTGCCTTACGTTTCTAAAGATTTAATAAGAATTGCCCAACTCTTTTTTATGGTCTAATTTTTAAATTAAACTTAATTATTCGTTACTCTTGTTAATCGACGTTAAAGTTGACCAAATTTTATTAGACATTGTTTCTTTTGGGTTTGATCCATTTCTTGCACTGCAAAGCAAGCAGAGTAAGAAACTCGAGGTGAAAGAAACTGGGAGAAAGTGCAAGAAATGTGCGCCATCTAGCCACGCGCGTCTGAAGTATTTATACCAGCGGGATTTAGTTTCTCGCGCCGTGCATTTCTTGCAGCTGAAAATATTTACCTGCAAGAAACCACTTTATCCCGGTTATTTCTTGCAAGTGGTTACTTTCTTTCATCCGAAACACTGCTTGTCCATAATATTTAATATTTTTTCTCTTCCCCAAAATTCATGACTGGTTAGCTTTCCGTAAAAAAATGGGATCCTTCCCTTCATTGCATTATCCGTGTTGTTGATTGAGACAGGCATGATAAGTAGCCAGCCAGGCTAACCAGTGGGTCGCCTCCGGGTTACCAAATAGCCGATAAGTCAGTAACTATTCACCCGCCATGCAAACACAATTCCCAATGCACTCGAGTATTTTGTCTTCATCTCAGCTTCCTTCTTGACTCGCCCGGTTACACACTTGGTTGGATGGTCGGCTGGAGAGAGAAAGCTGGCAGGCGTCGGCATGCCAGAGTGCAGTGCATATTCGGGAAGACCTTTTTTGAGGTGGATCCTTCATAAGAAATTTTTCCCGGGTGTCAGAATTTTTTGCGAAAATTATTTTTTTTGCGAGAATTGTCCATGAGAAATTTTTGCGTGCGTTAGTCCATAACAATTTTTAGGGCGAATTGTGTTCGAATGTGGAAGAATTTTTATCGCCCATCGCAATTTTTTGCGAGAATCGTCCATAACAAATTTTTTGTGTAAATTGTCTTTAAGAATCTTTTGCGTGCATTTTTGCATAATAATTTGTTGCTTGCAATAAAATTGTCGACGAGAATTTTTGGCGTGAATTGTGTTTTTGAATTTTTTGCGTGCATTTGTTCGTAAAATTTTTTAGCATGCACATGTCAATAAGAAATTTTAGTGCGAATTTTTTAGCGTGGATCGAGCAGCATAATTTTTTTGCGAGAATTATACAAAATACATTTTTATTTTATTTTGTTCACAATAATTTTTAGTGTGAATTGTCTTTTTTTGTCCATCGTCCCTGCCGATCTATGTCGCCCACTTGCCGTAAGCGGAGGAGATAATGAATTCGGACGTGCACTACTGGGTCCGACAAGAAGACAACCATCCAACCAACTAACTTTCTCCAACAGAAACTTATTGATCTCTCCCTCTTCTCACACCCCTTAACTTTTCACTCTCACTTCTCCTCTCACCAAAATCTCAATCCGACTTCCTGACCAGTGGCCGCGGAAGCTGTGGGGACATCGGGGGACGTTATCATTGCAGGATAGGGGGAGGGAGGGGTTTATTTAATATGGGCGGATGATGCGGACATCGAACAACTGTGGGGACATTATCCCTCTGTCCCCACCCACACTTCCGCGGCCACTGAATTAAAGTATGTTATACTCGTATAATCAGTGGCCGCGGAAGCCATGGGGACATCGGGGGACATTAACATTGTAGGATAGCGAAGGGCGGGGTTTATATAACATGGGGATGATGGGAACAACGAACAACTGCCCCTCTGTCCCCACCCACCCTTCCGCGGCCCCTGACATCAAAGTGCGAAACATTTTCGCTCCGAAATATATGCCGTAAAAAAAGCCGCAACTTTGTTCCTGTCTCATTTATTATGCCACCGTGTATTTTAATTGCCTAGTAAAACTGTCGCATGGAGATCTGGAGAGAGAGAGAGAGGTGCACTTTGTCTCGCTAAATTCGACACGTACAAAGTCGCTCCCCCATCACCACAACAGAAACGCAACTTTCACTCCCAAATTTCTCTTTCTGCCTTGGCTTTGACAAAATGGTTTAAACCGCAATGATATTACTTGGCTGGGAACAGACAGGGTTTCGGGTTTAAGCAGGTTTTTTGGCAAGATGGTTTTTACAAACTCGGACAAAAATGTGACAATTTTGTTCAAAATATCGTTTCTTCTCATGTTTGGCAGAATGTACATATTACAAAAATTTAAAAAATATATGACCATTTTGTTCCAAATGTTGAATATTGGATCAAGTTATGGTCGGGTTACAGACCGGATATTAAAATAAAATATGAACAAGTACGCCATTTTGTTCCCAATTTCGAAATCTGAGATGTTCAGGATCAAAATATTTTACTAGCAATATGAGTTTGAACACATTTTGGAAATAATTTATAAGGGTTTCGAAATATTAAAATGTGTGTGACTCCATTCAAAATTCTATCCTCAGTTTGTTTCCCATTTCCTAAGGACTTTGGTTCAGTGGTAAAAACTCGGAGAACCCTACTGGTTTTTACCATTTATATAAAACCACCCTATCCCGTCTCGCCTGCTTTAATCTCTTCTCCAGTCTCCCCTCAAACCTCATGGCCATGGCCACACAATTTTACTTTCCTATTTACAACTTTAATTTCTCGTCTCGTTTTTCAAACCCGACTTCTTGTCCCGTGTAATAATAATAAAGTCAACTCCACCTCACTCACAATGGGGACGCAAACCATGTTCAACCCAGATTAATTTTTGATTGAGTTAGTTTGAAAGAGCAACTCTTTAGAAACAACGTTTACTTCGATATTTGCGCAGATGCGAAAAATTCAGCAAGTTTTTGGCGCTGTAAGTTCGCGAAATTGCGCAACTGCCGTCGCAAGCACAGATTCCGCTGGAAAACTCAGCGTTCTCGCAAACTTGCGGCGCCCAAAACTCGCAGAATTTTTCGCATCTGCGCAAATTTAACACTAACTATTGTTTCTAAAGAATCGCACACTTTGAGGCTAACATCGTCAAAAACTAATCTGGATTGAACATGGCTTGCGTTCCTATTTCGCGAACTTATGCGGCGCCCAAAACTTGCTAAATTTTTCGCATCTGCACAGATTCTAAACTAAATCGTATTTCGAAAGAGTTGTTCTTTCAAATTAACATCGCCAAAAAATAATCTGGGTTGAACCTGGTTTGCATCTCTATTGTCACTTTCACCCGGAGGAGACGAACCTCCTGCATCCCATTACATTAAGAGATTCCATTAATGATATCTCTGAAGAGTCGTCTAATCTACTTCCGCCACGGCCACGTCGCTCGCCCCCTTGTCATTTGCATTTAGAGTGCCACTTGTCACAAGACGGGCACCCAGCCAAATTAATGACTGACGCGGAAAGTGACGCTGTCATGACGGGAGTCGTCCCGCAGCGAAAATGCAGCCAAGTAAATGAAACTGTGAAAGTATGGATTTTTGCGAAATATATTTTGGGAAGACTTGCATTGTCACGAAAATTGCGAGATTTTTTAGGAAAGGTGGACCTAAAGTAGAACCAAATTGAGATTTTAGAAAAAAGAATGAGAAATATTTTCGGAAAACTTTAATTTTTGTGTTGGCCACAATTTTGGAAAAAATTTGGCATAAAAGTCAAATTATAGGTTTTTGCAAAAAGAAGGGAAAATATTTTCAGAAAACTTGAATTTTTGGCAGATTTTTTGGGAAAGTTGATATCCAAATCGGGTTTTGGCAAAAAGATGTTTACACGAAACCTGCATTTTTACCTGTGTTTGGCCAGAGTTTTAGGGAA